ATAGACTGTCTGATTCTTAATGAGTTCATGGTCAGATGATAATTTGTCCTTGTTATACAGCAGTTAAATTGCTTCATTACAGAGCATTTTTGTCAAGATTAATAATGAAGGATTTTTGACATGGGCGTTAAGGCACAATGATACCATGAGCACATGCTTTGAAGATCCGAGTTGTTTGAACCTACCGTCAAGTTCACTTATACATCAAGACCCGTTACACAGTCATGATACCGCCGAGCAAGCTCATTGTATCATCGGGTCTGCTTTACCCCCGTGTGAGGTATTACGCAGGCATAAAAATCCACGGTTAGAAAGCATTTTGTCAAAATGTCTCTTGATCTCAGTTTGCCTATTGTCAGAAATTCTACTGTAACACCTGAATGTATAATTAACTAAAATGAAATGATCCAAATATCAGGAAAAATCAATACTTTCTCCCTAATTGTTTGCTTTGATTTAAATGTTAGCTGCTAGCTACATAGACACACAGTGTGTTATAATCAAATAAGAACACCTACTCTGAACAATAGATTTAATGTCCCCCTTGAGGAAGCAATAGCACTCCAACTGTTAATTCCTTACACTCTCATTCCAGCATTTAATATAATTCCAGGTTGCATCCCATTGTATACTTAAGTGAATGTATTTTGTCCAATATAAAGAAAGATATTTATAAGCAAATGTCTGATTCTCATAAGATAATATTCTGGGAATAAGGTATAAAGGGGAGACAACACTGTTGTCATATTAAGGGCTCCTTCAGTGGATGGCCTATGAAAATTTTGAAGTGAGAATACATGAATAGACAAAAAATAGTGACAGGGAATTCAATATGTAAAGGTAAAATTCCAAACAATGTCAGTACATGTATATAAAGACATAGAATACAAATGCACTCACCCTTAGTTTGTGTTATGAACGACATTCAGTACAACTCGTGCTAAATGTCACCATTTTGAATGCCCTTTCATTACTTGTTCCTTAAATACTACACAGAGCCTAGAAAGAGAACACCTGATGTGAATACCTAATCTGAACACTGGTCCAAGCAATATTCAGATCAAAGACAGGTTTTACTTACAAATGACAGAATAACAACTATCTGTTTAATCCAACAGAGGAAGATAACGACTATGAGATGGATTACCCTCTCAGTCCATTTCCTCAATTAAATCATCGCAAGGACTCTACAAAAGATGCAGTTAGGAGAGTTGTTTTGATCCATAAAATCTGAACAAATGGACATGTAGCTACTTAAAATATTTCAAATATTCATTTTCGTTAATATTTCACATTCAAGGTCCCTAGTTCTTACTACTGTATATCTTAATCTTATCAAACAAAGTTCACAAAGCAGCTGCGCCTGCATACATTTTCCAAACAAAGAAAGGTATGATAGTTTGCTTGTTTATATGGATGAGTGTGTTTGTTTGTTTGTATGTTTTGGTGTGTTGGTTGGTTGGTTTGGCAAGGTCATGTGATGCTTTTTCCTTTTTCTCTATAAAACTCAGTATTTCAATCAGGACATGAATCTTTCTAATTCTGACTAATACCCCACTCACATTTGATGGCAACCATACAGCAGCCGTAGCTTCCCAAAATTGAGATAAATATGCAGCATAAATTATAGGGATAAGCAGTGCCATATAGATTTTCTATGTCAATTTTGTGAAATTACGGCTGCCGTACAGTTGCTGTAGAGCAAATGTGACCGAGGCTTAAAAAATGTTTAAATCTGGTCACAATATCCGAATTGCTACATGAGAGCATATAAAACACTGATATAATTTAATTATCCATTTAGCGTCTAATCTACAGGAATTAAAGGATGGTATAACAGTTGTGATGCTGGTAATATCTTAACAATCTCCAATGCAACTTTCCTACCCTTAAATCTGAATGTGAAAAGAATGTTAGCTGCTCATAGGCAGAACATATAGTTCAGGATTTAAAGACTACACATTCTTAAAAGTTCTAGATAATAAAGGAGAGATCACAGTGTTGTTTCTCAATTTTAAGAGTGGAGGTAAAGTTGATTTTAGAGAAGGCAGATATTCTAAAAATATCATGTAAAGGTTTTTATTCATGGGTTCACCCCCCCCCCCCATGAGATATAGAAAATAAAGGGATTGTTCTGAAGTTTGGCTTTTTAGTATTATCAATATTCTACAGTACTAATATGATGACATCATAACGCAATTAACCTCAATCCTTAAATACATGACAAGCACTAAACCTTTGACTTATGATACAATATTCTTTATGCCAACTGTCAAAGACGTTACCAGCTAACTTAGATTATAAAAATCATTTGTCATAATTATCTGGAGTCATAATCCTTTACAATAATGATCCCAGTAATACAACATTAGTCCTATGCCACAATTGTATATTTAACTCAACCATATAAGGGATAATTATTAGACTTGACTTGCTTGTGACCAAGGCAACAGATAAGTAATAGCTGAACAGCTTCTCAAAGAAGCAGTTCAAGGAATCAATAGATACTTCACAAAAACACATTTATTTCCTTCATCATGGAAGGAGGTGAATACACCTGTCATAGAGGAAACCATTACCTTGGGAACCTGAATTAACCTGAATTGAATAGGATAAGTTAGATGGGGCACTTCAAGAGCATCCTTTCAAAGAAGTCGGAGTTAAAATTAATTTCTCACTTCATTGAATGCATTTAACACCAATCAGGTCTAGATTCTAAAGTAAGCACTCCGACTCTGTACAAAGCATGTTTAACAGATTGACCACTAAGTAAAGATCTAGTGTCAGAATATGACCTATTATTTATGATCTTAAAATAAATCGGAGTAAGATTGATCATATAAAAACAGAGTTTCTCTGGCATAAGTGGCAATGGATTGACATAATCAATAACCTTATGATCTTATTTTATGTCTTTATTGTTTTATTATTGGAAATGAAGATGAAGTCAGGACTGTAACTACTAATACCATAATAAAGTAAGAGGGCAGAGCCCAAGGCAATAATAATGAACTTTAACAGCACAATTAAAGGGCAGGGCTACAATGTTTGAAAGATACACAATGTTATAACTACATTGACCGAATTCAAAGTAGGCCCACTAATACCTATAGACTATTAACAAATCAACTGAAAACCTTTTTACTGATCCACCGATAGGCATTTTCTAAGAGGAATATACATGTAAGTATATGTTGATGCCATAATGCCAGTTAAGAATCTTAGTATGCCAAATCATAAAAGCTAATTTTACAAAACTGAGTGTAAGTTTATCATCAAATCAGTTCAGAAATATTTGTATTTTAGGCTTTGCTTATAATATATGCTAATATGCAGAATTTAATACAAAACAATATAGACCTTTATTTTGATATTTCCAAGTGCCTGGCATTCGCTGATCAAGCTGACCAATAATATTCATATATGTATACATGTATGTACTCAAGCAACCAACCTACCATTACGATATATCAAAATTCTATCAGACTTCCTGTCTATTGTAAAAAGGAGATGTAATGAGTATCAGAATGCCAACCTACCAGAAGACAACTCTTGTTTCAAGTTGTACAATTCTGGGGAAACATATTACACAAACAAATATATCTTTCTTGTTCTACAATTGAATTCCCTGTACAATTACGTGATGAATTTCTTGAACCTCAACATATTTCCCAGAAGACTACGAAAAAACATGACGCCAATTTATAATTCCTTTCATGTCATTATTGGTATTATCATCCTAGGGAAAGATTCACCTTATTGTCCTGATCCCACTAAGCCATTTCTGTATCAATTGCCGAGAGGTAATTTCGCTCAACTGTTTCCTTTGTGAAGTTGATGGATGTGAAATCAATGTGATAAACTCGTGCTGATTTAACATAAGACAGATCCCTGAGGGGAAATTCTGAGTAGGATTCTCGGAGAACATTAGCTCTGGATTCAGAGCAGTATCTTTACAGACTGTCAGAATATGCTGTTGTTTCTTTTGTGTTATTGAGAATATGATGTCAAGAAGAATATTGCTGCCTGTCCCTGAATGCAACTGACAGAAGATATAACAGGTCAATAACCTTGATGATAGCAGGGGTTTCATTAGCAGCAGGCAACAGGCGATTTTCTCCAGTTGTTTTAACAAAATCGCCTGTTGTTTTTAGGGACTTTTCAACTTTTCCATGTTAAATTATGATTTCCATTAATTTTGTCTGTTGTTTTCACTGTTGTGAGAAATTGTAGTGAAACCCCTGTGATAGCCTATCCAAAAATATTTCAGACTGATCTCTTCTGTACTAAAAATGTAAATGAGCATTTTATTAGTAAAGGTGAATGCTGACATTGTTCCAATAAGGAATCTTTTTAAAAAACATTTTATAACCTTTTTACATGTTAATCTTGCAGTATCAGTCTTCCCAACAATTACCATTTATAAAATCAAGGTCAATCTCTCCTCTTTAGGTGAAGTATGTTAGTCTGGAGACATGTTAAAAATTAAATCAAGGTAGTTATGCTCAACTTTGTGATATCACAAACTATGAAAAATATATATTTTGCCTTGTTATTTCGTCCTTCATCAAAAAAATGTATATATTCATACATGTACATTGTTGTATTTATTTTGGAAAGGGTCAGGCAAATGCCCATTTCATTTTGTAAAGGCATTGATTTCGTGTAATTCTGGGGTTTATATTCGGCAAACTCTCCATCTAACGCTGTCAAGTCACATCCACACAAATCAACAGAGAAGATCTCATTCTAAGTGAGAGAGTGGGCTGGTGGGGTTAATTCAAAACAAAACGAGAAAACTGAATTATTAAAGATTACATTTGTATGAAAAATAGTGTCCACTTCGAATTTAGGCCCTATTCCATAATGTATATAAGCATTAAAACTTAATATGTCAACTGATATTTGAGGTACCACCTGGACAGACAGGCAAATGAACAAAAAACAAACATAACATTTTCAATATACATAATTTATGTTCATCAATTCCCTTATCTTACCTGACAGATCTGTGTTGACTAGGGTGATTGGTGAACGCAGGGGAGGTGATGTAGATGCTTCAACGATCACACCACCAGATGGGTTAGCACCTACATTTCCTTCTGTTGGGCTCTCTAATGAGCTTCCCCGAATCCTAAAAAAGATTAAAACCAATATTGATGCACATAATATGATAACTAGACTCCTAAAGGGCTTAATCTGCACTGTCATTTCACATGAAGGAGGATCAAATGTCTTTAAAATGAGTGAATATTATTCTAATCTAACTAAAGAATACCCGGCACAAGGGCATAACAATTCAATTAGCATAGGCATTTATGGTTAGTACACTGGGACTCAACTCTATTGATTAAGATGACATTTTGGAAGAATTACTTGTGAGAAAGAAGTAAGTAATAGTTGCTGCAGAAGATGGGCCCTTTAGACAAAGTGACAGTGATTGAGTTGACCCTTAAGATCCACACATTTCCACTGATTGGTTTTGAACCTCAACAAGCTCTAAATAAGATACCCCTGATCCTGCAAAGAAAAAACCACAATTGCTTCAAAATGGGGAATAAAGTGAAAGGGATTTAATTAGCAAGGAATAAAGGAGACAAGCATAAGCTTCTGGCTATAAATTGTTAGAAATGAGACACCCAGGGAATCACGGCTTAAATCATTAGAATATTCACAAGCATATAAATAGAGCAATATTTCACTTACAGGGGACGGGACTAGTCCATGGTTAAATTGGCTTCAAACTATTAACTCATAATTTAGATAGTGCAATCAGAAGTATGGATTAAGTAAATGATAAAATGGAAGAATCTACCATGGGACATTGCCAAATACTATAGCAACACGGCTATGCTAAGTAGTACATGAAAGGCAACGGGTGGACATAGTTGATGGTTTCATGCCCATTCTGACAAATTGGGCCCATATTGTTATAGATCCGAACCAGTACAACGGCAACGCCAAAGCGTAGCGAATCCCATCGAACAGAAATGGCTGGCATTTTTACAAACGAATAGCAAATATCATAAAACAACACACCAGAAAGGCCACCATTTTCAAAATGGTTGCTCACTAGCCAAGTTGTCATCAGAAGAAATAATATGCTTTTCAGTAGCCACCTCTAAAATTTTTGAAAAATCGCACACGTACTTGTAAAATAACACACATAAAAATGGTGGCCATTTTTCAAAATGGCCGACTACTCCCCAAAGTTTAATTAGACAATGTGCCATGCTTAAAGTATTCACATATCAAATATGAACAAAATTGATCCACTACTTTTCGAGTTATAGTAAAATATGTTAAAATGGCGGCCATTTTCAAAAAAAGTTTCAAAATGGCCGCCTTCTACCAAAAGTGTCATAGGACAGTGTGCCATGCTTATAGTATTCACATACCAAATATGAACAAAATCGCTCCACTACTTTTTGAGTTATAGTAAAATATGTTAAAATGGCGGCCATTTTTCAATTTTTTTTTTCAAAATGGCCGCCTTCTACCAAAAGTGTCTTTAGACAGTGTACAATGCTTATAGTATTCACATACGAAATATGAACAAAATCGCTCCACTATTTTTTGAGTTATAGCAAAAATCGTAAAATGATGAATAAAGGCCGCCATTTTTCAAGATGGCTGCCATGTGCTTCTTTAATATCTACATTTGTAGCATTATTAATGTCCTTTATAATTTTTTTACATTTAAAACATATTGATATAACAGTTTTACATATTGCACCTAAATTACTGTAAAATCGGCACTAAAATGGCCGCCATTTTGAAATGAGCGGCCATTTTGAAAATTGGCTTTCGAGCAGAACTTCTACCCCCATAAGGTATACGTGTACAAAATATGAACAAAATCGGGCCACCGGTATTTGAGTTATTGCCCGGACGGACGGACGGATGGACAGACAGACAGACGGACGGACGGACGGACGGACGGACGGACGGACGGAGGCATTCCCTATATCCCTCCGAACTTCGTTCGATGGGATAACAATTGGATCTTCAAAATTAAGCATTTTTTCATCTAAAAATTTTGACAGACAATGGTACACTTGCATACATACCTCCACAGTATATAATAGTCTATAATGAGGTACTTTAATAAACTGTTAATCTGTTGGCATAGATCTCTCATTCCATTCATATAATATACAAGGCCAACAAGAAGCAAAATGTCAAAAATACCAAGGCTGATTACCCAATTTTTGAATCGTAAATGATTTATTAGGATATAATTTTTTCCCAACATTACAACTCTGTGCTTAACTTCCCATTATTGATTGATCAAAATAGAAAGTGGAATCAAGAAAATATAAATCTACATTTCATTGAAAACAAATTGAGATCTTTTGCTTCTATGATAATAAATACTAAGACTTGTATATAATCAAATGTTAACGATCTAAAAACAGGTCTAAATGAATTAGATAATGAATCATGAGATGAGATGTAACAAAAAGTAATGTTTACAATAAACATAACAAATCATTCTGCATGTTATGCAACAGAACTGTACTCTATGCTGGAAGTAATAATTCAATGTCTGTTAATCAAGATAAGGAAACAGAATCAACAGGTTGCCATGGCATTCATAGACATTTAATCAATGTACCAGTAGCAATTGTATCCCTTTAGAAAGAAGATCTAATTATATCTAATTGTTTTTTGTTCTTATCTTTTTCAGTCATTTAATCAGCTGTAGGAGGTTTCTGTATAACTTCCCCAGGCTGTCTGCCAATGGGAAAATACGAGATAAGGCAGTTTCACGTGACCAAATAAAAGAATCATTACAGACTTCTCAGTGAAAGACATCTGTGTGATGTCAATGTCAGGGTCACCAGCACTTTCCTTTCACTTCAATGCTAAAAAATAATGTGTATATTTTAATGTACACTTGTCTGTTTTGATTTAATAAGGTTAAAATGAGACTCAGAGTTCATGCATATACAGTTTTCAGACTCAGCAAAGCATGGACAGAGTATATTATTTATTCACTTTAATCGTCTTGCCTGTGGACCCTTCTATATACACTTGTGTCACATGGGCTTGTAGCCCCAGGGCTTGTAGCTATCACTTTAAATACAAGATGCTGAAAAAGAAGAGCCTAATAAAACAGAAATCTTTTTCCAATCAGTTAATCTGAAAACATAGGATCAAATCCTATACTTAGGGCTGATGTGAAAAGACACTCCACCCCACTCTTCATATGAGAAATTGTTTAATAAAACAAATATTAAGACATAAAAGACATGTTTATATATTAGTTTATGTTCATTCATTCTCTCATTTCATCAGTATTGCAGTTTAAATACATGTTAAGCAGCCTGTTATGTGCTGTAAATGATACACAAGTAAACTCAGGGATGCTGTTCAGAACATTTGTTAATTTTGTTAAAGGGAGGGGGCTAATGAAGTGAAAAATGTAGATTTTAAGTGAACGCAAATAATCATTTTCAAATATTGTTATATAAGGGAGGTTTAACAATTACAAAATGAATTTTATTTTTCTACTGCTAACATATGACATTTGGACACGATCCCTTCTCTAGATCACAAGACAATTAGTAAACACATACACATACACAAACATAAGTGCAATGACTCACAAACATTACTGAACAAAACAATAATGATGCAAAAATTTGGCAAAGTATTTCAATTCTCTGTTTAGCTTATTTCTTTTCATGGAACGATTAAGGGGATAACATCTTTTAGTTTTGTATCTGTTAAAATAGAATATTTTCAAAAACATTTCAGTAAATACAGACCTTACATAATGCATAAACAGTTGTGAGAGGATATGCTAAACATATTGAATATTTAGCCTAGCCTAATGCTGAAAATCGCAATGATGCAAAAATCTCAAATATAAAACAAAATAAGGCGGTACTCATACAGTCTAATATAATATGAGGGTGTGCACAAACTGTAGAGTCCTATGGTATATAATGTGGAATATCAGTAAACATAACACAACATTCATTCAATCCATTCAAATAACCTGGAGATATAACCCATAAATGGCATTATCAAAAACATTTAGCACGACTACATTTATTAAACCACTTCATTCAATGTTCATTTCCTCCTGCAGTTGGTCATAAATGGGCTAAAATAAGGGAAGGCTCAGTGACAATACAGAATCATACATAAGACAATGCGAGCTTTATGAAACATAAAGCCCTGTGCAAGTCACTGTACAGTGTACATACATTCTCGGTGTAGAAACTAAATGACTGTGCAGCTAGCGAGCTAAATCTTGCAGCCATGGTTACCTACATAACTGACCCCTAGCAACATACAGAGCCCTCTGGTTGCTGGTTCTTAGTACATTGCCAGGGGTAGGGGGAATATGATAATTTTGCTGCATTGCTTATAAATATGCACTGTAAAAATACAACCAAAACTTAGTTAGTTTTCAACAATCACTATTTTTTCAATTTCCTCAAATTTCAAGTGACATATACGCGGTTGTGACTGCAGACTACAGCAAAATTAAAGGTCATGTAGGTTTAGTGGCATCATTCTCTACTAGCTACTCACCCATCAACAGATTCTAAGGGTTCCTTAGAATATTGTAGGGGCTCTAAGGGTTCCTTAGAATCAGGAGACCAATCATCTTCGCTTTTAGACAAGCTCACCCAGTTTGCAATTTGTGAAATGCCTGTGTTAACACTAAAATACAAACATGTTAATAGATGTAGAGTTACCATAAAGAAAAAAAAGAATATGACTAAGTTTATGGAGCAAGGGGTCTATCAACATATTAGGTAGAAGGACCACCAATACATATGATACATAATAGGCCAAAATTACAGTTAAGGTTGAGAGGTATAAATACCTAACAATTTGACGTGTAAGGGCTATGGAAATAATATATTATATTTAATCAAAAATACAATGATAGACTCCCGCTTCATAAAATATGTTAAATATATATGAAGTATGTGATGTTAAAAAATATGGTGCTGATTAATTATGGTGCAACTGAGTTAATAGAAGCTAGAAAAGCTAGCAAAACAAGAAACACTTGGATATTGTAAACCTAAAATTATGCCTTGGGTCCTTTTACTTTAGTTTTTTGTACAGTATATTTTATAGATTTTTGTGTATTCCCAACTCAAGACA